CCTGGCCTGGATCAGGAACAGTGTGGCCAGCAGGATGTGGGAAGTGATTCTTCCCCTGTACTCTGCGTTGGTGAGGCCACATCTTGAGTATTGTGTTCAGCTCTGGGCCCCTCAGTTCAGGAAGGATATTGAGGTGCTGGAGCGGGTCCAGAGAAGAGCAACCAGGCTGGTGAAGGGACTTGAGCACAAGTCCTATGAGGAGAGGCTGAGGGAGCTGGGGTTGTTTAGTCTGGAGAAGAGAAGGCTTAGAGGTGACCTCATCACTCTCTTCAACTACCTGAAGGGAGGTTATAGCCAGGTGGGGGTTGGTCTCTTCTCCCAGGCAACCAACAATAGGACAAGAGGACATGGGCTCAAGCTCTGCCAGGGGAGGTTTAGGTTAGATGTTAGGAAGAAATTCTTTACAGAGAGGGTAATCAGGCATTGGAACAGCCTACCCAGAGAGGTGGTGGATTCACTATCCCTGGAGGTTTTTAAAAAGAGATTGGATGTGGCCCTTAGTGCCATGATATAGTAATTGGAGTTGGATCAGGGGTTGGACTTGATGATCTTGGAGGTCTTTTCCAACCCAATCTATTCTATGATTCTTTGAGAAGCAATCATTCCACTCTTGCGTAAAAGATTTTCTTCTTCTTTCTCCTATGGAGATATTTTACCTTTCCACAAGAAATTAATTGCCTCCTTTATACAGCTTACTTTTCAACTTCTTCACCTCTTCTCTTTCCTGCTCATGCACTCTGGCTTGACTGGTTGGCATTTATTTTCCTGCAGAGGTCTCCTGGTGATGACGAGCCTCCTGGAAAACCATTCCTAAGGTTACTCCGAGCAGATTAAACCATTTGGAGTTTTTCCAGTTAGATCCTTGTCTCCTCTGTGCCTTCTAGGCCACACTCTTTGCTCCTGATTTTGAACCACAATTCCACACTGGGTTATTTTACTTGGGGAAGTCAGACAGCTCCCAGCTAGAACCAGGTTTCACAAACAAAAACTTTTCAAGCCACACCTTTAAAAAGAAGACAAATTTTATTTTCTTTATGTAATCTTTCCCTGTAATTTTAATTAGCAAAGAGCAGTTACATTAATACCACCAAGCTGAATAAGCAGGTTGTTATAAGTTTCTCCTGGGGAAAAAAAAGACTTGAGTATATCTTTCAGTAATGGAAATTTGTTTTTTAAATGTCACTGTGATTTCCAAGCCTTTATTCTCCACGTGACTCTTTCTGAATACAGCAAGAGCTGGCTGCTCCCTTAGGAATGGGAGCTGGGGGGCATTGGGGGCTTCCCAGAGGAGGTGTGGCAGGGCAGTCTGGCACAGCTGTGGGGGGCTGGAGACCAGCCCAGCTGGGGTGTTGCTGGGGCAGGGGCTGCCCTTTCCATGGAACAGCCCATCTTGCTCAGTCATCCTGTGCAGTCTGACTGTGCAGACAGATGAGCTGACCGATGGATACAGACAGGCAGACAGTGCCCTCAGCCCACCCAGCCATGCTCGGCACAGCCGAGCCTCCTGTGCCAGCTCACCTGTTATTACAGAGTCTGTGGACAGGCTGTGGAGAAGGGGACGAGAGAGGGAAAGACAAACATCTATTTCCACATGGGAAAATAAGGTATGGAGAATCCCCACTCCAAACTCAAACTGAGAGGGGAAAAGGCTCAGCTTGACAAATGGAATGTCAGCAGTGCTTCAGATGAACATATTCATCAGCAGAGGTGTTGCTTATACACCAGACTTTGGGGGAAAGCAAGGGGAATGGAAGAGGCAAGTATGAAAAATCATGGTTTTTCCATGGCTTTGAACTTTTGGCAGCACGCAGACATCCGCCTGCCGGATTGGCCACACCACCGACCAGCGAAAAAACTGGCACTATAGTACCTCTCATTTGGCAACTTTAAAACACACGACCAGTCCACTGGTGATGTCTGGGACAACGTTATATTCTTACCAAACAGTGCTGCAATGGAAAACCATGGCTCTCCTGACCTGCTCCACTGCTCCTCGGCCACACTGGGGAGGGATTCGCTGCAGCCACTGTGTGCTGCATGGGAATGAGAGAAGTGTAATGAACTGCAAAAGCTCACAGCTGCAGGGCTACCAGGAGGAGAGAGCGTGCCACTAACTAACAGTGGATACACTAGATTGCCTAATGTCTAAATTTGTTCCTCCTCAGACAGAAAAATACCCACATTAAGTAAAAAGCTTAGTGAATGCATTAAATAATGAAAATAACACACGTATTATTTACAACATTATTTAAGACACATGGGGATGAAGCCTTATTATTTTAAGAAGCCAGTGGCTTTTCTGCTAAAAACTTTGAGGCTGTTACAATTTCTAATTCCCACACTACATCTGAGTTAAACTATGATGAGTCTCAAAAACTCATGAAATCAGCTGGAGGAATTCACAACACCAAAAATGCGTTTTACATGTCTAGACAAATCTGATTATCATCATGCCCTTCAGAAATATGTTATATATTCCCAGCATATCAGATTTTACATAGCATTATCATTAGATGTGGTCTAATGTCAGTTGACAAATTAGAGAATAATGATCAGGATGATAATTTATTTCAGTTTTAACAAATTAATTATGTTAACATCGAACAAGATAAGGTATTTGAGAATGGCATTAGATGGTTCTGAATTTAAAAAATCTTCATTTTATGTTAAATGTATTTTTAAAAAGTATTTTCAGTATCATAAATAAGTAAGGTAAAATAAAAATCAAATTAAAGGAAAAGTTTTGATTGCATAGAGATTGCTGCCGTGGAGTGTTTTGAGATTAAATGGAATTCCTACTAAGCTGAAAGCAATTAGGAGCACAAAATTCATAGTAAAGGTGCAGTCCCAGAATCTGCAGAATTACAAATCTGTCACATCAATAGAGAAGCGTGTAGATATTTTACAAAAAAGTGGATCTAATCATTCTTCCTGAGGATGGTATGAATTATGCCAGTGATTAGTGTGAAGTAATGCAGACCTTACTAAATAAAAGCAGATAGAAGCTCAGATTATTACTTCCTTCTTCCCTCTTTTGCATCCAAAGCCAGGCTGGTTGGATTCTTACTGTCTTCCCTAAAAGGTAAAGACGGTTTCATGGTTCTTGGTATAATCATTTGGGGCCTGCTGAGAAAGCAAGTTACTGCTATGCTTCCAGATCCAGAAGTGGGATTACAGAGCTCACAAGAAACATGTTCAGCTGAAACTGGGAAAGGCACAGGATCCACTCAGAACAAAGGACAGGTTGTAACTGGCAGTTTGAGACCTGGATCACGCTCAGTCATCCCAGACCAGGATCCAGTTGTGGTAGTAGGACTGTCTCATCATCTAGAAAAATGTGATGCACAAAGCCATGCCAGAAGCATCAATTTACCAGATTCTCAGTTTCATGTGAAAAACTAAGTTATAGAGGGCTTAAATATTATGCCAGTGGTTACACAAAATGAAACCAGAATGCCTGTGTCCTGTGGGCAATGAACTCCTGCCCCACATTACGCAGCACACAGGGAGGAAAATGCAAACCAACAGCTGGAATTGGAACATTTGATCCATGAAAGGTCTTACGGACAAGGCAACATGCTCTGCAATTAGTAGTTCTTCCAAACTCTCTGCAATATTACAGTCACCTGTGTTGGTCAATGCCACGCAGAGGATATTTTGTTGGCTGCATGAACATGAAAAGAATTATGTTGCATATAAAAGGAGTTGTGCTATTATGCATGCCCTCAGCTTTGTCCTGTCTCAGTTTTAATTAATACTAGTCGATGCTTTGCAAAGACTGGAGCAAAGCTGCTCTTCTCTTGAATCCCTTCTTTCTGTAAATCTTTCCTGTCCCAGTTAAGCTAATCAACATTCTTACAATGCTTTTTCATATGAAACTGTCACTATTCTTTAAAAGTGTTACTATCTACCAATAATTACCATTTTCTACTGCTTATAACACTTCTTTCTTTTTCATTAGCACTTCCAAATGTTCTCACATTCTACAATATCTCATTAAACTGGAATCCTGATTATTTCTATTGTGCTAGCAAGTGTGGCACTGGCACTATAGTGGTTATCTTTTTTTTCTATTTTAACTATCCAAATGAAGCAAAAATCAGTCTCATTTCATTCTTTCCACACAAATCCCAACTTCTTTTATTTAAGCATCTGTATTTATATTATACAGTCCCTATTTATATTTCCAATGCTACACTGTTCTACTTTAATGAAAGATCTCCTCATGGCATGTCCTCTACAGTCTTGCTGTCAGGACATTAGCATGCATACTAAGGCCAAATTATAAACAAGACTTTGGTAATTTCCACCTCATTTTGAAGCTCTTCTTAGCATTGGAGTGGCAAACAGTCGCTGTGTAGGTTGTCAGATGCACCTATATTCATGTAATACTTGCTTCTTCCCTGCCATGCAAAGTTGGTGCATTATTGCTTTCTGATGGCCGGAAATGGTCACTGTGAAGCGAGCCGTGCCCTAGGACATGCTGGAAAAGCACAAAGTGGAGGGAGTAATCCAGTTTTCGAACACTGCCAAAGTAAATACGAGCCAAGAGAGAAGAGATAACAAATAGATGGAGCATGGAGGTAATAACAAGATTATTAAGGCCAGTAAGAAAAGGAATGATCACAGAAAGAAAAGTGGATCTTTTCTGTGGGTATCACATCAAGAAGTAGTTTGACAAAGAGTCACAAAGAGAAAATTAGGTGGTTTTGCAGATATTTAGAAGGGTATCTGAGATGGAGCTTCAAGAGGAAAAATGTTAAGGTGTTTACAGACGTGGATTTTCAAAAGCATCTAAGTAATTTTAGAACATGCACCCTATTGGCTTTTAGTAAGGCTGATACCCACAAAGCACTTGAAAGTACAGGTGTGATTTCTTTTCCTCCTGATCCACTTTTAAAATACAGATAAATTACAATATAAACAAAAATAAATTGCTCTACTAAATAATGTCAAGCATAATTCCCTGAGAGTCCCAGGTGCTGTAAAATCATTATCTGGCCTTTGGAGAATGATTTAGACTGTCTGCAGTGATGTCTACTTCACAAGCAAGTTGTGGGCCACAATTAATCTTTTGCAAGAGTTCTATGAGAGTAGAGGAAACAAACTTTAAATGACCAAGCACTAAGGGCTTTTTACTTTCAAAAACATTAGTATTTGAGGAGTATTGGTAGAAAGCAGGACTTGAAAGTACCCAATAGGGCCCATTCAGGCAGGGATGGCTGGTTTGGGAACACTGCTTGAACACAGGTGTGTCAGCTACCTTAAGGGCTCTCTTCTCATGGTGGGTTGCAGGGCAAGATCTCCATTGGTCATGGTTTGGTTTTGAAGGGGGCCTGTCTAACACAGAGAGGAAGCAAGAATTTCAGTGCTCTGTGCAATCAGCCACTGCCCTCCAAGACAGAGGGGTTTTGGCAATTTATTCCAACCTCTCTTAATCTACTCTGAGAAGCAGATACTCGTCCTGCACCAGGAGAAATACAGATGCACAGCAGGTAAATAGGAGCAGCAAACTCGGGAACTGAACATGAGTTAGGGAGCTGTTACTCTGACAGTGATAACAAGCTGTGCAAAGAACCACATGAGACAAAAATCCTATGTCAGAACTGAAGTTCTGGCTGGCAAGCAGCTGGAGTGGAAGGTGACTGGCCTAGCGTGGCAAGTACCTTTTAGCACTGTCCGAGGTACCAGCCTAGGCCAGACCTTTGCTGAAAAACTGGAATGGCAATTCTTTTAATCAGAAAGAACACTCCATATGATTTAGCTGTATGATTTACACTAAGCTAAATGAGCATTAACAAACGAAGAGCAATTTATGGCCACTTCAATAAAAATGAATTTTCTTCTCTGTTATCCAAATTTTCCTGTGGTAGTTTATGACACTGTAAACCTTCTGTGGTCCTCTCATTGCTTTAAATCTGTCTAGGAAAATAAGGATACCCAAACATATGGAACAACTACATGAAAAAAAAGTGTCTGCTTTTTATTTGGGTAAGTTCTATATCAAGTATATATCAAGTTCTATGCTAGTATAAACCAAGTAATTTTAAAAAAGATGGGGCTGGATTTGCCTCATTTTTTAAAATGTTTTGGGCCATGACTAGAGAGTTTTCATTTTTTCATATTGCAGATAACAGGTTGTAGAGAATTTTGTCTTCAATAAGGAAAAATAATTATTTTTCTAGATATATTTATGCTTTGCATGAAATTAACTTTTACTTCAAATAGGTCCTCTCCCAGAAGGATGAGATCATCAAAATCAGGACAGAAAAGTCCATAGTACACCCTGACACGATTCAACGTAAATAAACTCCATAAGCTTAGTATATTTGTATAATCATGTTATTTATAACACTGAACATTTGCTTCTACGCTGCACTGCTCAAAGCATTTTATTTCCAACCAATTTCAGTACATAGAGAGCATCAGAAAAAGACTGTACTTCCCTCTGATTAAAAGAAATCTGATATTGAAACTGGAACTGATTGAGCCTGTGCCCAACTGTTCAGAGAAGCAATTATTTTACACATTAACCTAAGCTCCCCTCAGCAGCTACTGTAAGCGAAGAACATGTCAGATCCTGGTTTCAGGCGAAGACAAAATACCACCACTATTGAATTATCACAGGCTCCATCTGTGCTGAAATTTAAAATGGAATCCAAATAGAAATATGTTTACACAATTTCACGTTTCAAAGTATACCTTTGACCCTACACTGCTTTTCTGTACCCCATAATACTTTTTGTCATGGATCTTCAGTAAGCTTGAGGTACAGAAAATTTTCTTAGTGATCCAAAAATATTCTTAGTGATCCAAACCAAAGAATTCAGCTATTCAAACCAAAAAATGGTTACAACTGCTTTTGTTGTTATGCATTTGAGTTGGTGCATGTAATACCACACAAAGTGTCAAAATGTGAACAGGCTGGCTTATTTTTGAAGATTATCACAGATTCCAAACCAAAATATTCTGAATTAAGATATATTCCTTTGTTGCTAAGAATTCTTCAGGGGATTTGAATATTGGAGCTGAATTAAAAAAGCAAACAACTCACACTCTAATAGGTATATGGAATTGCAGCTGTGCAAACTCTTCAAAACAACCACTAAACTGCATTGACATTTCTGGCAGAAGATAGAATCTAATTGTACATTCTGATTACCAGTATGACTACCCTGTGTCTTAGGGCTAAATTAGTCCTTTTGATCTGCTCACTTAAGTGTGAAATCTTCATGGCTGGCTGTACAAGACCAACATAATGCACTTCTTATGCTGCCCCTGATTTTGGAGGATATATGCTAGTGGGCCTGCATCTGACTTCTGTTTCACTGAACATGCTTGCATACTTGTCTAAAATACTCTTTATTTTCTTTCCCTCATTCTAATCCGGAGCTACAGTGTTCCTCATTGCACAGGACTTCGTTGCTAGGTGAACGTTCTCAGTTCACACAAGGTGTATGATCTCTCTAGTGTTTCAGGATGTCTTGACCTGGAAGTCAGACACCTTTGCAGACATCCCTGCTTGGGCTGGAACTAAGCTGGGTGTCTCCATCAGGCAGTGTTAGATGCAGTCAGAAGGATGACTGAAAGGAACCTCTGTCAGAAGTTTTCAACACAGAGTGTTTACTGAATAAGTCAGAGTATCATGAGCATAACCAAGGAAATACTGAGCTGGGACTGATCAGCAGGGACGCTCTTTAAAAATGAAACATGAATAAATCAAACAATTACTTGCTTCAGAACTATAAGCAAACAGCTGCTTGGAAAGAGTCAAGAGTCAGAAGGGAGCGAAGGGTGAAACTGTAGACCTCTGAAGTTTGCCTTAAGGTACAAGCAGCATATTTTTAAACAGAGATCAAAAAAGAAAGAATAATGCTAAGAGAAACTTGTGAGTGATGTACAACTGACAAACCCATTTTGGATTTTTGATGGCTTAAGTGGAAAAAGAAAAATCATGGATATGACCAGAAACAAAATGCTCAGTCCCTGGGAAAACCAATGCTTAAACTTTGGCAAAATAATTAGAACAAATGAAGTCATACAGTCCATGAAATGGATGAAGCCTGACCAGTGGTAGTAGCAGCACTATGGAAGTAAGAGAAAATCTAGACTCTATGTATGTTACCAAAAAGAAAAACCCAAAAACCAACCCCCCCCCCCCACAACAAATGTCACCCCCTGCCCCCAGAAAAAACAAAAGCAAGAGAAGCACCAAGACTTCAGAGTTTAAAAATGGATCTTGCATGGTGCATAGATCTTATCTGCTTCAGCAAACACAAGGCAAAACAAGACACAAGCCAAGATTCAAGACACAGTAGATTATTTCACTCAGGATGAAGCTGCACATCAGTAGAGCAGAGAAGTCCCAAGCAATGATGACCAGTTGAGCATCACAAGCGTCCCACTGAAAATAATGAGATTTCTATTGCACCACATTGTCAGAGATATACTGAAACGTTTTGTTAGCTCAGGGCAAGGGATTCCATACAAGCCAAAATGCTGGGTTAGTGAAAGAAGTGTTGTAAATATAAGGTAACCACTTAAAAAGATTCACAGAGGTACTGGATTCATCAGAGGATGCATACTGATTTTAATACTGGCAAATCCCCAGGCTCTGATAAGGTGAAGCACCTCTTCTAAGATACACACCAATCAAGCCATGGACATGTCTCTCAGGCATAAACTTTTTGTTCTGTGAAACTTTACTTTCTACTTTTTTTTCCCCCTCATTTCCCCTTGTGGTTTTGGACTTGTTTTTAATGATAATGTGCATTTGGTCCTTAGTTATTCCTTCAAATGTCATCTATAAAACATATAACTGGAAGATCTTTGATATTTGGTCTTGGACAAATGACATCCTTTTATGGTATCCTTTACAATACACATAGATAATGTACGAAGAAGGAGACAGCAGAAATGCATAAGTTTGAAAGGTGATTTGCACTCCTCATACAAAGAAATGGCAATAAAAATAGGAGATTTATGATACAATTTACTCCTTCATTAAGCAGCAGACATTGTATGTGTCAGCCAACGGCTGTGGATTTCAGTATGGGTTCTGCCTAGTGTCTCATTAAAAACTGATAAAAGAAACAGCAGTCTCACTTAAGCTAAACCTGCTACTTTTCCAAATGAAGTATGCTGTCACATTTTTACAAATTAGAATATATATCCATATGTATTTGGATGCATGTGCAACTACCCCACATATCACTAAAATGTTAGAAATATCACATTGTGAAAAACCTGTTAAGCCAGTTGTGCATATTATGCAGTGAAGTACAATGCTTGATATTTTCTTCACCTCCTGAATCTCTTCTTTCTTGAGAAAGGTGTGATATTTGACACATCTTTTGGGGAGGATTCACTGAAGTATGCATTGTTCTCTGTCATAGCCTCACAGCTGACTTCCACAGTCCATATTCTGTCTAATTTCTGAGTCACAGATGACCTTGCAGGCAATCAACTTTTATTACTTTCTGTCAGATAGCTGGGTTGATGTATAACTCTATTTCTATAAACAGGCTATTTCCTCAGCCGGTATCTGAATTTTATCAAATGTATCATTTATCAAATGAAGCTCTTCATATAGACATTCTTTTCTTGGTTTAAGAGCAGTTTGTACTTGAAAGAGACGATCACCATTACAAGGTTTTTCCTGAAAATAGTGTGTATCATTGCACATAAATTCCTTCATAATGCCACATTTTCATATGAGCACACTCAAGCTGCATTTGTATTGCAAATGTATGCATGCAAAATTG